CCTCTATGAGTGGAAGCGGACGCAAAGGAGCTTTTGGTATGGCCGGCTGATTAACAAGTTGGCAGTCCGGGCAGGACGGGCACCAGCGGCGCACATCCGCTCGGATGCCCGGCCAATAAAATCGGGCCGTTATTCGCTCCAGAGTCTTTTCGTATCTCATATGCCCTGCCATGGGGTTATAATGAGCCGCCTGGAAAATCGTTTCCCGGGGGCCCTGCGGCACCAACAGCTGGGTGTGTGTCACCTCCGTGCGAGTGTCACGACTCACTCAATATAACCTATCTTTCATTACAATGAAGTGTGGGTAGGTCCGCACGACTTCAGGGCGCACCACGTGACCATCAATCTCAATCACTTGGTCAAAGGCTGAGCGTAGGGTGTCGTCACGAGACTGCTCCAGTGGGAAATCACCCGTGGGGGGAACTTCCGGAGCCGGCGGGGCTTCCTGTGAAGGACCCGCCGTCTCCCCCTCCCCAGAGTCAGTGTCGGACGACCCCGCGTCACCACTGAGCGCCGATCAGACATTACATGCTACTAGCGGTCGTGATCGCACCCCCGCGTACTGTCCCAACAGATGATGAAACCCCGGCCAATTCGTACCCAGAATTAGGGGATGCGACAGGCGCGGGCTAACCGCAGCCGTTACTCTATGCGTTTTGCCCTTATACTTTAATAACAGCGGCACTATGGGCACTATGCCCTCTGACGATCCCGGCTGCAGCCAGCATACGGCCTCGTCATGCAGCTTCCGGGCCCAAGCAAACGGCCAATCCGCCACGGCCAGCCGACAGGCCCGGAACTGCCGGCGATGATATTCAGCGGTGAGTCCCAACCGGTCCACCACCGCCCGGCTCACGTCCTGGAAGCTGCCCCTCGAAGCCGGCGGCAGACTCAGGGCCGCCGTCCGAGCCTCCCCCGACAGCAGAGGAAGCAAACGCGAAGCCCACTCCACCTGCGGCCACTGGCAGGCCTCCGCCGTGGCACGAAAAGTCTCCAGAAAAACCTGGGGGTCGTCCCTGTCCCCATCCGGGGCACCGCCACCGACAGCGGTGGGGGCTTCGGCGGGGCAGCGGCGCCAACCAGCCGCTCCAGAACCTGAGTCTGCCGGTCCGTCTGCTCCTGCAGCGCAGCCAGGTGAGCCCGCTGGGCCGCCGCATGGTCGTGGTTCATTTTCGCCATCTCCGCCAGCATCTGCGCCAAAAACTGCAAAGGCTGGGCGGGCGGCGCAGCCTGCGAGTCGGACATCCCCACACCGGCAGGCTCCTGGGTTTCGGCACCACTTGTGACACACGCTAGGCACAGATACACCCACACACACGTCGTTAACATTGGATGCACGTTTATTGTGAGTGTCCACAGAATGACAGCTGAACACCGTTTGACAGCGGTCGGTTTCCCCAGCTCCTCCTCCTTCGCTCCTCTCCGCCTCACTATATAAAGTGAAGGAAAAACCACCATCAGTCCCAAAATCACGATCAGCTGTTCTTACCAGCACCGCCCCGTTGAGCTCACTGCACCACTCCTCCGCCACACTGGTCTTCAGTAATACTGGTATATTAATGTAGCAGAACTGAACTGAACTGAACTTGACGTGGAGTATTGGATGGAGGGACAAGAAAAATTTCTATAAAAGATGCGTACGGGGATATAACTCTCATCTTCATAGGCAGCCGGGTTACAAGTGACCAAGTTACCGTGAGCACAGACTTACAAAAATCCCATGCAACAGGTCTGCCTGTTTTTGGCTCATTAATTTGTTCTACTCTCGGCCAATTGTTGATCACCATTGAAATGAACTGACTGTGTTCTTTTTCTGCACCCATCAAAACATTTTTTAATTGCAATATCATGCTGATATGTACTGCTTAGTACATTTGGGTCTCAACAGCTTACATTAATATGATAAAATGGTGCCATTATTGAACATCAATGAATGGCTTTACTTCAGCTAAACTTAAATGTAAATTATCATTGGATTAGGGATAAAAGGTTAATGCACATATACTTGATTCTCGGCACTTACGCCAACATTAATTTGTAGCAATTAGATTTAAGAAAATGATAAGTGACTGTTTTTACCCATTTCTAACACATACTTAAAAAACTACTTTGCTTACTTTGAATGCCTGCTTGACTAAGCAGCACTTACTGCTCTGTAATCCACACACTGCTGTCATGATTTGTCTGGCCGGAGTCAAATGCAGGACTCAGGAATGAAAGTGCGGTGAGTTTATTTACAGTGCTGGTGTAGATAGTGCTATATACAAAGTCTTTTTGAAGTGCTCGGTTTAAGAGTCCAATATGTACAATATGTGAATCAAAATCCCCGAACAGAATCTCCTAAGGTAAGGTAACAAACACTCTCGGAACTCCGCTGGGACATCCTAAGCACATAAAGAAGCACATTAGAGGTCTTCGGCCAGTTCACAGAGCCTTACAAAGAGACAAGATGAAGAATACCACAGTTAGATAACACTCAGGTGAATTCTGAAGGTCAGGTCCTACCTTAAATAGCAAACAGGTGAATGACAGTTTTCTGTGTGAGAACAGCATTTTTATATGCATCTTTTTCTGCATTGTGTTATATATTTCATGCAGCTAGTAATATCAGATGGCCAATATATCAATCAGACTTTAATGCAGAGTGCATCCATTACCATAATAGGCAAATAAATATATTGTATATTGTTGTAAATTAACAAATCAACGTTGAATGGCTTTTAATTTTTAAGGTGTAATTTAAATTACGATGGCAATTACACTTTGGCGTTCCATCTCCTTCATTACTCTTCCCTTTGTGTACTAATACTGAGGATGTGTTTGGACATGAGCTACAAGGCACAGCTATCATTGAAGGATGAAAGTGTTGTTATTGTGAAGAAATACACTATTTGATTACCATGTATAGGAAAGACAAAGTACTTGCCTGTGATTTATTTCGAATCAGGAGGTAGGTGTGCATTCTGCAGAAGAGCTAAGTGCTCATACCCATCTGTGCAAACAAATGGCGCTAAACAAAACACAGAGTGAGTACAGTAGAAGAGTGTGTGGCGTCTTTATATGTAAAATAAAAGATGAGCTATTCATTCTGTGTGTCAGGAAAAGAGAAAAATTGAGAGATATACAAAAATGGAAAGAGTAAGAAATCATGTTTTTTCCTACTCGGCATTAGAGCAGGGCGATATGACCAAAACTATTTATCACGATATACATTTGAAAATTTGCGATAATGATATAACTGACAATATAACTGACACTAGACAAAATACTTTACAACTCTTCAACTTTATTAGTGCAAAAAAACACCATCAATGTATTTTCACTTAAACAAGCAGCTGTTTTTAATGTGCATTAAAGTTACATAAAAGTTTAACAGTGCAAATTCTTTGCTGACAGTTTAACCAAAAGGCATTTCCAGTGGAAACTGGCCGACATATCCTCAGCATAACCATGTATAACATCCACAAAACTTAAAAACAGTTATACACACACAATACGGTAACATTATGTTGAAGCACAGTACGTATCACTCCGCCAGGCTCCTGCCTACGATAGCCGTAATGCTCCGAAAATCCATCAAGCGGTGCGGCTTCGTAGCTTAGCAAAGTCGTACTGAAACATTTGACAGATTTTCGAGCGCCGTGTACATAAAATCGTTTCGAGGTCAGTAACCAGAATTCATACATAAGGCACACGGGATTATAAGGGGCTCTGTCGAATTTCAGAAAAATCAAAGGATTGATTTTAAGTGCGCCGTATTTCCCAAACAACACAGTAATAACGACAGCCTGCTAGCATGCTCTACCAAAAATAGTGCTTTGTTGTGTATCTGACGGACGAAAGCTAAACCAGTTCCACACCACTGAAATTCCAGCATTTTTACAAACCAGTTCTGGTTCATCTGTTTTATTCAATGATCCACTTTCGCTCTTCTCATTCTGCGTCGCAGCCATGTGCGTATGTAAACAAAGGCACTGCGCATGCGCGTTTTACACATATTCTATCGCGATATTTCATTTTCTTATCGTTGCCCAACATTACACCGGTATTACCGTGAACGGTATGATATGGCCCAGCCCTACTCTGTATTATCAGATTCTGGCAAGAAGAATCTTCAAGTTGAAAATAATATGTACATTTGTAATCCTAGAGGGCATGTCAAGAACATATGTGTCAAGTCCCGTTTCTCAGAGTATCCATTTGTCCTTCGGGTGGATGTACATCAATGAGTTAAACAAATTTGCTTGCATTATACAAAGTTTTGGAACTTTTTTGTTCGCTATTTTTGTTTCAGGAAGCTCATTATATCTTTAATGCACATATTTTGGTTGTATTATGTCAGCAGCACCATGGTTGACTCTATGTTTTCAAATAGAACAATAAGCTAAATTGCAGTAAAGGTTATAAGGAATGTGTAATGAACCTTTGCGGCCTTATTCAGGCCAAAGTGTAATATATATATATATAGCATGCACAATGTTTAATTTTCTGAGCAATTCCACCTCCCTTTAGAAGATCCCTGTAATGGCTTTTCATGTGACCTGTAGCACTAATGAAAAATGCCATGTTAACCAACCGATAAATCTGACATGTGAGAAGACAGTGTGCCATCACTCCCTAAACCATGTTTGATAGAAGTAGAAGTAATGATGTTCCTTTTTAGTTTAGGACATAGAAAAGACAGGGAGAAGGATTAAAAAGGGAGCAAAAGAGACAAACTGGAGCACAGGCCAGCAGGGGAATGGGGGCAGCCATACTCGGTTATGGTAGAAGCAGCGAATCCTGGAGGGAGTAAACCTTTAGTTTCTTATTTTGTCTCTGACTTCATTTGTTACCCTTGGCAGCTCGAAAAGAGATGACATAACCACCTCAGTGTTCAATAAATCAATGTAGATATTTGCCTTTTAAGTTTGCATGCATGACCCAAAGCTTTCTGTTCTCTCCACAGGGAGTAAGAGGATGGGTATGTTGCCTCTTGCTGTAGTTTCTCCACCACTACCATGAGCTGGAGTTTTCTGACTCACCTGCTGGAAGAAATCCACAACCATTTTACATTTGTGGGCAAGATCTGGCTCACTGCTCTCATTGTTTTCCGCATTGTGCTAACAGCCGTAGGAGGAGAGTCAATCTACCACGATGAACGAAGCAATTTTGTCTGCAACACAGCCCAGCCAGGCTGTGAGAACGTATGCTACGACGCCTTCGCTCCACTCTCACACGTCCGCTTCTGGGTCTTTCAAATTATCCTGGTGGCCACCCCTTCAGTTATGTACCTGGGCTACGCTGTCAACAAAATTGCTCAGGCAGAGGAGAAGGCAGAAAGTGGGGGAGTGAATGGATTTTCCCAGAAGAAACCCAAGAAGCACTATCTTGCAGGCAGAAAGCAGCACAGGGGCATTGAAGAGGCTGAGGATGACGACGAGGAAGACCCGATGATCTATGAAGTGGCAGAGGTGGAGAACGACGATTGTGAAGCAGAAAAGGGAGGCAGCTGTGATAGAAAAGTAAAAGCCAAAGTACGCCATGATGGGCGTCATCGTATCAAAGAGGATGGATTGATGTGCCTTTACATCTTCCAACTCCTGTTGCGCTCCTTGCTGGAGGTTGCTTTCCTCTATGGTCAGTACACCCTCTATGGCTGGTCCGTTCCTGCCATCTACGTATGCGAAGAGCAGCCCTGTCCTTATAAGGTGGACTGCTTTGTGTCGCGACCAACTGAGAAGACAATCTTTCTCCTCATCATGTACACAGTCTCCCTGCTCTGTCTAACACTCAATATATGGGAGATGCTTCACCTGGGCATAGGTACCATGTGTAAGATAATACACTCGACGAAGCTCCCCAATGAGGAGCTCTACGGGCTGGCAAGAGGACAAGGCCGTCTTAACAAGGTGAGATTGAGTGACCCATTTTCTTGGAATGCACCAGCGCCTCCACCTGGGTACAACATCGCCATCAAACCTCCTCTGGTAGGTAAAGGGAACCACAACCAACCACTACCCATCACTGATCTAACTAATGCCAAGCTGGCATGTCAGCAGAATCACGTGAACATTCCCCAAGAGGAGCGTCAACAGAACGGCATTAATGATGAAAACCAGTGCAGAGCTGGGAAGGGAAATGCACCCAGGGCTGTTCATAAGGACAGTGGTAGACCTCAGAAAATCCTGGAGGGTGATAATCAGACCTACATCCAGCTGCAGAGCCACACTAACAACCGCAGCACGCCCCACCGTGAACGTAAACACCAGCAGACCAACAGACATGCCTCCAGCAGGGCATATACAGACAGAGGTAGCAGCGGCACCAGCAGTAGCAGCAAATATGGAGTCAAAAAGGGTTCAGAGTGGATTTGAAACACGAATATCTAAAACAGCTTAGCTATTTAGCTCAGTTCAGTAAATAAGCTTTGTATAGCAAGAAAATAGAGCGCGGGAAAGTATCAGAAATAATATCTTGAATACCTTTTGCGCTAAGATTTTGGTACCCTGTTTCTGTTTACCTTGTTTAAGAGACTTTAATGCTGCAATTGAAAGTGCCTTACTTAAACCATCTAAAAGCAGCTTCATTCAAACTGAGCAACCCTTTATGTTACAGAATTTAAGTTTTTTTTCATTGCCATCCACAGTTAAAGATTTGAATAATTTTGCTCATGAATATTCAAAATTGTTCTTCAGTTTCTTTTTAGTGTAGATCGTTTTCCCACAAGCAACAAAAAGGCTCTTTTCACCTATGTACTGCAGCCCTAAACCGTATGAATCATTAGATATTGTCTTTAACATGCCAGTTCTCTCGTAAAAAATGCATGATGTTTAATTGTGAAAAATCAAGAATAGAGAAGTGAATATTCTGCTGAGTTCAGTTAATGAGTGATCATCCTGTTTCCTGCCTCCTGCACACTATAGTCAGGCAGTGCCCTCCTCACGACCACAGGGAGTTTGTCCGGTAGTCTAAATGCAGCTGACTGGAATGTCCTGCTGTCTGTTTTATGTAAGTTAAAACAACAATGTCCTGGTCTAATTCTGATGATTTTTTTAGAAGTTGTGTTTGAAAACAGCTGACAAAAAATAAGAGACAGTATGTTTCAGCTGTTAATTTCACCATATTTTCCTTTTGGTAATTTAAAAGCATTTCCACTTTTTTTTGAGAAAGAAAAGAGAAATTTTCATTATTGTTTCGAGAAGCAAGCTTAAAAAAAGTCATATATTATAGTACAGGTATTACCTTTTTTTAACATACTTTACTTTTTCAACCATTCATCCAGTAGTGTACATTAAAAAGAACGAGTGTATCAAGCTTTATGTATGCTTCATTTGTTTCTTTCTTTTATCAATCTTTTACTTTGATTTCCATATTTTCAGTCTGAGGCCATTTGTCATTGGTTGTTACTGTGTTTGGTTTTGTTAAAATATATTTTTTGGAACAAAAAGTTCATGTTTTGAATAAAGAGTTTCTATTTGTCTCATAATCTTTGTCTTGTTTTCAATGATTTGATTGTCAGTCTAGAATGAAAACTATATTATTAATTTAATGCTGAATATTTGAGCATGTGGGTAATTTGCACTGGTAGTCAGCTTAAGCTTGCATTGTCCTCTGCTGGGCACAAAGAGGGAATAATATAATAGTTCTATGTCTCTTTCAGTGGGATCCCTGTAGATAAAACTTACCAAAAATTTTCTGTGTCTATATTTTAAATCTGTCATATATTGGAAGTTTTATTGAAAGAAAAGCTCATCACTGAGAAATATAATATATTTTGTGGTGGAATATTTAGTTTATGGCTCCTTTAAACTAACATGGCAAGTAGAATTTAACATAGTCAAAAATGAATCTTGGGGATTTTCTCTGGAAATGTGTTTGATCAGTGATTGTAGTTTTCTGTAGTCATTGTGTTTGACCCGCTGATATGCTGATAATCAGTTGCAATACGTGTCAGATAAAGCATCAACTAAACAGCTAAGTTGCTTTTCATGAATTGTTATTGTTTGTTTTCTTGAATTTTATAAGTTATTTATCTCATTTTCCTTTTCAAAGGCCAAAATTGATAACCGGGGTGCTTTTGTGTTAGGATCAGGATACTGTACCAGTGACTGTAAGAACCTTACCATTAACTCATAATAGATTTCATATATATTAAAAGGTGTATTTGAAAATGAAAGCCAGGGCTCACATTTCAGACAACAGGTTATCAGAATCAGAATCAGAATACTTTATTGATCCCTGGGGGAACTTATTTAAGGAAAGTATTTAAGGTTATGTGGAGGGCAGCGTCAGGAGCAAACAGTCTTTTCTTTTTTTGACGTCAGAGCTAAATTAAAATGGGAAGGCGTTTCAACTTTTGATTTCACACTGTTTGAAAAGCACCTGAAGGCAGCGTCAGACCAGATGTTATGCCGTCTTCATGTCCACACGTCCTCCAGGTAGTGACAACAACAGCTTCGCCGGCTTGTTGACGAAGCGATAGCAGGTTTTTTTTTCCGCTTCTCTCCAGCACAGGAAATATTGGAAATAATTCCAGTGAATGTAAGAAATACATACCGTAACTAGTTCTTTAGGAAATACACTCAACAAAAATATAAACGCAACACCTTTGTTACTGCTCCCATTCCCCATCGGATGGACGTAGAGACCTAAAATGCATTCCAGATACACAATATAACCATCCCTCCCAAACAGTGGTCACAAATCAGTCCAAATGTGTGGTAGTGGGCACATCTGCTATATTGAGATAATCCATCCCACCTCACAGGTGTGCCACATCAGGATGCTGATCTGACACCATGAGTAGTGCACAGGTGTACCTCAGACTGCCCACAAAAAAAGGCCACCCTGGAATGTGCAGTTTTTTGCGCTATTGGGGGTCTGGGGACCCAGAACCGGTCAGTATCTGGTGTGACCACCATTTGCCTCATGCAGTGCAACACATCGTCGCATGGAGTCTATCAGATTGTCAATTGTGGCCTGTGGAATGTTGGTCCACTCCACTTCAATGGCTGTGCGAGGTTGTTGGATATTCGTGGGAACTGGTACACGCTGTCGTATACGCCGGTCAAGCACATCCCGAACATGCTCAATGGGTGACATGTCCGGTGAGTATGCTGGCCATGCAAGAACTGGGACATTCTCAGCTGCCATCTGCCCTGAACAATGTGAACCATGATTCATCCGTGAAGCGCACACCTCTCCAACGTGCCAGACGCCATCGAATGTGAGCATTTGCCCACACAAGTCTGTTACGGCGACGAGCTGGAGTCAGGTCAAGACCCCGATGAGGACGACGGGCATGCAGTTGAGCGTCCCTGAGACGGTTTCTGACAGTTTGTGCAGAAATTGTTTGGTTGTGCAAACCAATTGTTCCAGCAGCTGTCTGGGTGGCTGGTCTCAGACGATCTTGGAGGTGAACCTGCTGGATGTGGAGGTCCTGGGCTGGTGTGGTTACACGAGGTCTGCGGTTGTGAGGCCGGTTGGATGTGCTGCCATATTCTCTGAAACGCCTGTGGAGACGGCTTATGGTTGAGAAATGAACATTCAATGCACGGGCGACAGATCTGGTTGACATTCCTGCTGTCAGCATGCCAATTGCACGCTCCCTCATTGCTTGTGGCATCTGTGGCATTTTGCTGTGAGACAAAACTGCACATTCCAGGGTGGCCTTTTGTTGTGGGCAGTCTGAGGTACACCTGTGCACTACTCATGATGTCAGATCAGCATCCTGATGTGGCACACCTGTGAGGTGGGATGGATTATCTCAATATGGCAGATGTGCCCACTACCACACATTTGGACTGATTTGTGACCACTGTTTGGGAGGGATGATTATATTGTGTATCTGGAATGAATTTTCGGTCTCTACGTCCATCCCATGGGGAATGGGAGCAGTAACAAAGGTGTTGCGTTTATATTTTTGTTGAGTGTACATAAGTATTGGGTGAAAAACATTTGAATTTAGGATATGGATAGAATGACCCAACATTCCAAGTGCAGTAAAGACATGTTGGGTGTTATGATCACAACACACCAAAATCATGTTGGATATGACCCAACAACAGGGTCTTGTATTGAGAAATTGGGTTCAATGATGAGATGTTGGGTTAAACGCAAAATCTCAATTTGAGACCCAACATTTCTTTACAAATCTCTTATTCTCATGGTCTATAAGATCTGTATTGTGATGGTGGGTCACAGGGCTTGACTATATGGAGATGCTGGTTCACACCTAAATGTCAGTATTGAACCTGATATCTCCATTTAACTCCCTTGTGTGTATGGACAAAACCTTTTATTCATTTTTATATAATAAGCCATGCAGCATATGGTCACCTGCTCATCACGCTGAGCTAAACCAGTTTCTAAAAGGACAAAAGTCATTGGTAAGGAAACATGATCAGGTCCATAAATTGAAAGGGTTAATGTTGAGTTAGTTATTACGTATTCCCTCATTTGTCAAGCGTGCAAATAAACCCAGTGGCTGATGGGCGAGGTTAATTTTTGACAAGTGAGAAGAATTATGAACTGTGGGAGACAAAATTTTGGGTACATCTTAGACTACAAGGTCTAAAAGCCACAATATTGGAGAGTGATGACGAAGATGAAGATGATAAAGATAAGAAGGCCCAGGCCTACGCAGAGTTAATACAGTTCCTGGGTGATAAGAGTTTATCGCTTTTGATGAGAGAAGCTGCCAACGATGGACGCGGGGTGCTGAAAATATTAAGAGACTAAAGGTAAACAAAGGGACGACCTTTTGATTTTAACAAAATAAAAGTATTCCCGGAAATTCAGAGAATACGCGCTTTTTTACGGTGGAGGAACACCAAAGTAATTGCTTACGGAGCTTGCTTCTTCGACATCTTTAAGAGTTCTGAACAAATGTCTGTCCTCCTCCACAATATCTAATGTATGCAAACAAGTGTTCCAACTTCTTATCTGGTACGAGTCTTTTATTTTGACAGCAAATGTGCACCTGCGGACCATTTATGTGCAGCCCTGTTTACAGTTTCCTGTGCATTTCAAACATTGTCCTTTCTGATTGTTTTTTTTTTTTTTTTAATATTTAAAGTAGCATGGCTGCTATGAGGCCAGCTAGGATCCCTGTGGACCTTGCCCTACAAATGATCCAGGACGGATGGGATGAAGAGCCCATTGGAGGCATTGACTCAGAATCTGACATGTAAGATACAGAGGACCCAGACTATATAGAGTAGCCACAGACTGGGGGAAAGAGTGGAATAATTTAACCAAACATAAGCTTGTGGCCTTCATTTGATTGACCATTCTTGCAGGAAGTGAGAAGAACTGGGATGTACCAGTTGGTGTGTTTTTTTGGGCGTCCTCTGCATAACCCATTGTACAAGGC